TTTGATGGACATAGTCTTTGTAATGCAATGATAGGTCAAAGAGTTTGCAAGAGGGAGTAAGAGTCATAAATACTCTTTGCAGGTTGAAACTAGGGAGAGACAGTGTTGTGAATTGGTTTGATTCAGCTACCATATGCAGCAATGTAAATACTTTCTAGATTTATCAATCATAGAGAGAGCATAGGGAATTGTATTGCTTCCATGTGCTTTAAGGTTTCCTAATCCTATGCATCTATGCAAGCAAATTGGGCCCCAGAAGTGCATTCCTCTCTTCCAAATGGCTGGAATGCTTCACCAGCTGTCAAGATGGGAGACACCTAACAGTAGTAAGATGTTGCTTGCAGCTGGGTGTGTATAATGTAGACCTGCTGGAAATGTCTCATTTGTCTTGACTGCTTTCGTATTTCAATTGCTTACATAATTGGGAAGGACATGCATAACAGTATGTCTGTATACAAGACTTGCAGAGAATATATTTTTAAAGATACAACTACATTCTAGGGTGGGAAATGCAACTCTGTTCTATGAAAAATAATATGCAAGAGCTTGAGAGCCATAATTTCTTAATAGTTTCTGAATATCTCTCCCTCCTTCCCTCTCTCCTTTCCCTGCCTCCTGTATATCCTTTTGTGCCACACCCTTCCATTTTCCCCTCCTTGCTAATAAGCATGAAATTAAGTTGACTGTCATAGAGTGCCCACCCTGTGCAGAGGACTGAAGCCTAAATCCTCATACATTTTAAAATCATAGACAGCTATAATGTGGAACAGCCAAAAACCAATGTGTATTATGGAGGATTTGAGACACTGATCCTTTCTCAATATGGAGAGTAAGGACCTAGGAATCTGAGTTAGACCACTACACTGACTGGTCCTGGCTCTCCAGAATTTCAGGCAGGGTTCTATCCCAGTCCTACCTGCAGATTTTGGGGATTGAACCTTCTGCATGCAATGTAAATACTCTACCACTGAGCTATGGCTACAAGCACAAAAGGTGTCTCACTAATTTTAATCAGTGAGATGCTGGAATGTATGCCCTTGACACTTGTGAGATATAATGGGGCAGGAAGGCATGCACAGTCCCCAGCAGCACCGTCACTGCTGGGAAAGAATGACAAAACACAGTTACAGTTTCCAAATGATTATATGCTATAGTAATACACTTGTACATGATTTCAGCAAATGGGTTCACAGAGTGAGCTGTGTAGTGTGGATGAATTTATACTGGAGGTTACAGTGAGCAGAGACAACCAACAAAAGCCTACCAACCTCCAGCTATCTTTCAGAACATAATCTGAAAGGCACAACATCTATGTTTAACAACTGTGTATGAGGCGCAACAGTTGATTTAGTTCTCTGACTGGCCTAATGAACAATCTTTCCAGCTTAGCACTGAAAGGGCATCTGGAAACCATCCCCCTGGGCAAAAGAAACTAACTCTGCCAGCTCTGGACCTCTTCTGGGGTCACCCAGGAGCACCCAAGCGAGCTGCGCGCTTGCATTACATTTCATTTGATTGTCACCAATTAGTGAAACAATAACAATCCTTACAATCTGTTAGATGTTGAAGCTGCTCCCTAACACAATTAAAAGGCTTGCAACAAATGTGAGCCACAATGAGAAATGTAGCCCATTAAGTCCCATTTAATCAGCTCACAATTTCCACTGTTGCCTGGCATGTCCCCCTAGGACCAGACTGAAATAATGGCAGTAGTTACCTCATTCTGCTATTTCTTGATTGATTGACAAACTGCAGCACAGTCAGCCACACTCCTCCACCATTTTCCCAGTGGGGGGCATAGCACAGTAGTGATATGGAGCTGTAATGATGCTGTTGCTGCTGCTGCAGTCACTATTATATAAATATGACAAGAACTTTCTTTGCTATGTGGAACAGGATTTTTCTTCCATGTTTCATCTACTGTTTATATGCAATAGGTATAAGGGACTTGATTTTTAACGATCAAAATCCGTAAAAACAAACAAACCTAGGTCTCAGAAAGCATTGTCTCTGAGCATGGTATTTACAAATGGAGGTTAAATTTGGTTCACTTTGCTCATGTGAACTAAATCCTAACTAACTAACTAACTAACTAACTAACTAACTGAATCCTAACTAACTAAAACAATATACAAGCTCAAGAAGCTAACATTTGAAATCCGCATCTTTGCAAATGTTGTGATGTTGCAGTTCAGCAGCAGCAGCAACGCACAGATAATTGAAAATAGCACACCTATGAGCATTATATTTGAGGAAATTGTGAGTATGCAACTTATGGAAAACTGCAAACAAAGCTGTGTATGGATGGATTAATGCCCATTAAAATGCTGCTGAATTTGTACAAGGACTTCGTTTAAAATAAATAATAAATCACAAGCTGAAGCAGAAATGAAATTTAACATGGGGGGGGGGGGGGACCGGGACCGCAAGAAACTAAGACTGACTGATGTCCACTCCCAACAGTACTATTGCTTGTAAACTGGTACTGCTTGCATTCACATGCTCCATTTTGAAATGGACACTTCAAACATCTGAGGTGCACTTTGTATAATAGGCAAAGTGGCTCTAGACTTTATGGAACCAGTGGGCTTGTCTTTGAGTGGGTCCCATCCTGGCTTTGCAAATGCTCCCCTAAAAGAGAAGCATCTATGAAAAAATTGGGCTAAGGGGATTGGAACTTTCCCTGAGCGTTGCTGCTAAAATGTAATAAAAGCAGCAATGGAGGTTACCGTATTTTTCGCTCTATAAGACGCACTTTTTCCCTCCTAAAAAGGGGAAATGTGTGTGCGTCTTATGGAGCGAATGCAGGCTGCATGGCTATCTCAGAAGCCAGAACAGTGAGAGGGATCGCTACACAGCGCTCTCTCTTGCTGTTCTAGCTTCTGGCTTAGCCGCGTGAAGCCTCTTCAGGGCACGGGGAGCCTTCATCCCGCTACCCTGAGGAGGCTTCGTGCAGCTATCCCAGAAGCCAGAATAGCAAGAGGGATTGCTGCGCAGCGCTCCCTCTTCCTGTTCTAGCTTCTGGCTTAGCCCCTCTGTCCCTTCCCCCACCTCCCAGAAAAGCCCACAAGAGCCGCGCGGAGCGTGCGTGCAGCTCTTGGGGGCTTTTCCCCAAGGAGGGAGAAGGGCAGCCCATCAGTGACAGGCTGCCCTTCTCCCTCCTCGGGGAAAAGCCTGCAAGCGCCGCACACACACTCCACGTGGCTCGTGAAAGGGAGCGCTGAGCAGAGCCTGGGATGCATACAGGCTCTGCTCAGCGCTCCCTTTAAAGAACCCCCCCCCCTTGCATTCCCCCTCTAAAGACTAGGTGCATCTTATGGTCAGGTGCGTCGTCTTATGGAGCGAAAAATACAGTACTTCCTTAGGGCAAATGGGGCACTGCCCCATCAACCTTGGTCTCCTCAGTCAGTCTGCATCTACCTGCCTTCTTACGTACCACCAGTTCAGGTTCCAGCAGTGACTGCCAGCTTCCTCCTCCTCTTTAGTCTCAGATATGCCCATGTAGAACTCAGCAGGAAGGAGGATGGAAGCAAGATTAGAGTTAGTTGACTTTGCTGTCCTTAGCTCTGCCTCTGCCTCTCCCTCTGCCTCCATCTACAGTTGGCCTTGTTGCCTTCCACCATACCAGTCCAAATGGACACTATCCCCCCAAAAAAGGGGTGTGACAATTTAGGCCCTTTCAGAAACTCAATTCCAGGTAAAAAACCTGGGGGTCAGCAACCAGAAACAAATGCACAGTAAATCAGCATTGGATAAGAGAGAAACAACTGAATTAGGAATTCAGGTATTGACTAAGTGGCCAGGAATGTGGTTGTAAATAGTTGAATTAACATCGAACTGATGTGGTATGCTGTTTGTAATGTCTAGCTGTTGCACTATGCTTTATAAGTAAATTATAGCTGATGTGGTGGGAGCTGCTACTTAAACTGTTTTATATGCTCTCTGCTTTCTCCCATTACAAATCTCTGTATTTTGAAAATTGCCTATTATTGCTGTATTCGATTGTGCTGCTTTGGATCTTCAGCAACCTTTCCCATGATGGAGTTGAGTGTTTTCTTGGTGCAGCACTAACAAGTACTTCAATAGCAATTTGCTTTCCCAAATTAACGTGCTTTGACCAGTCACTTCAACAGCAAAAATACGTCCTTTCCCCTCCACCCCACTTTACCCATGTAGGCAGGGGTATTAGGAGCAAACTACATGTTACATTAGGGACGCAGGTGGCACTGTGGGTTAAACCACAGAGCCTAGGACTTGCTGATCAGAAGGTCGGCGGTTTGAATCCCCGTGATGGGGTGAGCTCCCATTGCTTGGTCCCTGCTCCTGCCAACCTAGCAGTTCGAAAGCACGTCAAAGTGCAAGTAGATAAATAGGGACCGCTCCGGCGGGAAGGTAAACGGCGTTTCCGTGTGCTGCTCTGGTTCGCCAGAAGCGGCTTAGTCATGCTGGCCACATGACCCAGAAGCTGTACGCCAGCTTCCTTGGCCAGTAAAGCGAGATGAGCGCCGCAACCTCAGAGTCGGCCACGACTGGAACTAATAGTCAGGGGTCCCTTTACCTTTACCTTTTTACATGTTACATTATTTCCACCTTGCTATAAAGTGTGCTTAAACTTCTCCCACCCCCTAGAAACTTCTTTCTGCTCATTTGCCATGTTCGTTTGTGACATCACAGGAAGTCTATAGCCAACAGCAACAACCAGTGAAACATCTGCATAGACCTTCCAGGCCTCAGAATTGTGAGGGCATCTCAGCAGTCGTGTCTTTCTTTGCTTTATTTATTTCTTTTAAAAAAACAGGAATGTCTGAAGCTGGTGAGATTTTCTCAAAGACCAACTGCAAAAGTCATGAAGAGAACCGCATGACTTAAGCAAGCCAGCTGCTGGTTCCCGCCCCCCGCTCCCAAGAAATAAATGCCTTTCTAAATTATTTATTTTGAAATAAAAGTATTTTAAAGAAATGACTGCAGAGGTGCCCCCACAATTGTGAGGCCTGGGGGTTGGGTCTGTGCAGATGTTGCCTCAGCTGTTGCTGTTGGCTACAGACTGCCTATGATGTTACAAACAAACATCTACCAACTGCCTGTGATGTCACAAGCGGACATGGCGAATGAGGGGAAAGAGGCATTTTCTAGGCGACGGGAGCAGCCCCAGGAAGTTGGGGGTAGGTAGGGCAGCTTTGGTCACAGAAGTGAGTTGCCAACTTTTCTCGCTCTCAGGGCTCCTGTGCTTGTCTCACCTACACAGCTTCCAAAACAATAAAATGAAATCACAACTGATTTAGTCACCCCACCACAACTTATAAAGAGTTTTTGTTTCGTTCTTCTGTCCTTTGGGCCACATCAATGAGGCCAAGAGGGCGATCTTGTCATCTGGGCAGCCCAGGAAAGCCATACACACCGCCCAGGCTTGCACCCTGGGGAGGCCACTTCAGTACTGCTAACACAGCAGTTTGACTTCATCCCCAAGAGGTGCCTTCCATTATCTCTCAAGACAGATGCCAACAACGTGGGATGTGTGAAATTTGTGCCAGGAGCAAACCAGCCACAGCACACATACTTAGCTGACGGACTGAGTGTTGCTTAATTGGTTATTTATTTACATCCCTGGGAGGAGGATAGAATGCCTTTTCTCCTTCCCATCCCCTGCAAAACGATGAGGTTGTGTGATCATATACTGTAGATCAGAGAACTGGATTTGGCCAGGAAGCCAGATCCTTACCTTCTGTACCCATCCATTGAAGACCACATTATTTTAATAAACAAATTGCTTCCAGTCAGTACAGACACAGTTATTGTTCACATGGATGTCTGGAAGGTAATCTTTGACCCTCACCCAGCATCATAAGGACCAGGCTCTTGTTCTCTTTTTTTAATAGAATAAATTCTTCATTCACAAGTAACTGAATGGATCAGGCTGGCTGAACTTAAGCCTTCTCAGTTAAAGGCACCAGGAATTATATTTTCTCCCTCAGGGAGCAAATAATTCTTCTCTATACAGGAAAATCTATAAGACGTTCACTGTGATGTGGCAGTAAATACAACCATCCAAAGAAGGCAGATGCAAAAAAAAAAAAAAAAAAGGGTGTAGATGGATAAGAAATCCCTTACCAAACTGAAGCAAAGTTGCCATAAATGTTGTCTGCCCAGAGGAAAGCAATGGGAAACAAAAGCCACCAGCTTATGAGATCACAGCTCATAAAGAATGCATATAAAGAGGTCAGTAACCAAACAATGGTGCTCTTCTAGTTCATTTACAACACCCTTAGACTGTTAATCAGACCAAAATGTCAGCTCCTCCACTGCTTTATTCATGAGTATCAAATTTAAGAGCCTCTTTGAAGGGAGAAGGGATCAAATTAGTTGCCACTGTTTCTAGAACTCTGTTATATAGATGTTTTAAAAAGGAGCCTGGCAAGATGAGCTCTGCTGGATGCAACCAAACGTCCATCGAACCCAGCACCCAGTTTCCGACAATTGCAACCCAGCAGAGAAGCCCGCAAGCAGAAAATGAAGGCAACAGCCCTCGACCATTGTTCGTCCCTCAGCAAAAAGCACTCAGAGATACACTGCCTCTGACCTAGAGGTTTAGTTGTACTACCATAGGAAAGGAGGCCATCTCAAAGATGTGGAATAACTAGTCTCATATAAGCAATATGCTTAAGTCTAATCAATGCATGAAATGGTTAATGCCATAGAGTAAAATGATCTGCCAGGCTTAGCTAAGTCACTCCTGCTCACATTGGGGAAAAGTTACTTCTACTGTCTACCATGTGAACTTCAGCATGTAAGGAAGTCTCAGCTGGTTGCTCCAAGCTCAAACCACACGGTTTTTCTTTTTTTACACAGCCATCCTTGTGTTCTCATACCAAATAATTTAGGAATGTTCATGGCTTTGAAGATAACCTAAATTTTGTTGCCTGCGTTTTCTGAATGCTGTACGGGACAGCACATAAATCTGATATCTGAAGATTTTGTAAGTAAATAATTTTTAGCTTTTTAAAAAAATGAACTACCATGGCCACGGATAGACCTATTTTCCATTAATTTATCATATCACCTTTTTAAGTAATGAAAGCCAGTGGTCACCATGACATCTTTGTGTAGCAAATTCCATACATTATTATGTATTATGAGATGAAGTGTTTTCTTTTGCCTGTCCTGAATCTACTGTCAACCCATTGTGACAGATGACCCCAAAGTTCTAATAACTTATTCCCTTCTCACAAAATACTGGGGTACAACTGGTAACTTATGGCATTTCTTTTCTGCAGTCCACCTTGGACAGATGATCTGACCCCAGGTCCAAGCATTAGATGAATAATGCAACTTGTCTTTAATTAAGCACCAAGAACCTCTTTAAGTTTCATCAAACACAAGCCAGTAACCACCAAGGACAATGAAAACATCTCGACCTAAGCAGTGCCTCCTCCTTACACATGTCTCCTCCAACTAGTAAGACTCCTTTCAACACCTTAATGCATCTGAGTGTTCACCATTTTCTCTTCCTTTGTGGGATTCCCATTGGAACTTGGTTAGCCAGTGTGAGAATAGGATGCTGAATTACGTGGCCCTCTGGTCTGCTCCAGCAAGGCTTACTTATGTTCTTAGGGGCCACACATCAATGATGGGTGGGCACCCCCTGTATCCCTCTGTGTGTTTGTACCACCCCTTCTCTCTTTTTCAGACACCCTCTTCTGTCTCTGTCTTTGTTTTTTGTTTTTTTAAAATAATATTTATTATTTTTCCAAAAACTTTAACACTAAAAAGAAGAAGAAAAAACAATACAATACAACACATCAAATTAACAAAACAAGACAAAGACAATAAAATAAATCAAACAATTTCATTATCCCATCTTTCATTCACTTATTTCCACGACCTCCTCACACCTCCCTTTTTGTATTCCACTTCTGTTAATTATTTCAGCAATTCCTTTCCATCTTCTGTCTCTGTCTTTGTCTCTCTCTTTCAGCATAGTGATTTTTACTGAATCTTCTTAAGGGGCTTTCTAGTTCTGTGGTAGCTAATATGGTGCCCTCCAGATGTTGCTAGACTACAGCTCTCATAATCCCTGAGCATGGACTGTGCTGTCTGGGGCTGATGGGAGTTGGAGTCAAGCGACATATGGAGGGAACTATGGACTGCCCCTGCTCTAATTACTCTGGCATCAAGTGAACCTGCCTATCTCCACCAACAAGCGTCGTCCCCCTTAAAATATATTGTGAGGGGGTTTTTGGAGGGTAGGGTAGGGTAGGCTGCACATCTGAGTTCCTTCTAATTCTGAGATCCCGCTTCCCAGTGAGGTAATGGCCTAACTATGGGTAGTTAAGCTAACAAAGGAAGTGGCTCCACACCAGAAGGCAAATAAGGTAAAGGTAAAGGGACCCCTGACCATTAGGTCCAGTTGCGAACGACTCTGGGGTTGCGGCGCTCATCTCGCTTTATTGGCCGAGGGAGCTGGCGTACAGCTTCTGGGTCATGTGGCCAGCATGACGAAGCCGCTTCTGGCGAACCAGAGCAGCGCACGGAAACGCTGTTTACCTTCCCGCCAGAGCGGTACCTATTTATCTACTTGCACTTTGATGTGCTTTTGAACTGCTAGGTTGGCAGGAAGGCAAATGGATGCCCCCTATCTCCCAACTGCCTGGTAGTTAGAAAGACAAAAGCCAGAGTTGAGGTGTGTGAGGTAGAAGTCAGAAGCTGGAGGCAGCAGGCTGAAGCCTGTAGGGAGAGACATGCCTGATGTCTCCTGGAATCCAAAGCTTTGGCTATGGGAGAAGCAAGGCCCTCTTGGGGGGGTTAATATTGTGAGCCCCTAGAATTGTATAGTTGGAAGACACCCTAAGAGTCATCTAGTTCAATGCTGAAATTTCAAATGGCACATCCATAAGAGATGGCCATTCAGCCTCTGCTTAAAAACACTGTCTCCACTGTCTCTCATTCCAAGGAAACCGAATTGTGGGTTACCCCTAGAACCTTGCATCACTCAGAAACTGGGGTGGCATGCAAAAATATATTACTTTTATTTACTGTGAAAACTTGTGAGATAGAGAATAAAGCAATCGTTTAAAAAATGCAAAGAATTTATTGCACATGCTGGGGGGGTGGGAATCTCTTGGGATTTAATGACAGTTTTATTATTTCAAATGTTGCATTACCATTCTCCTCTTTTAAGAATGTAAGAAATACAGAGGAGAGAGAGAAACTGGCCTAAAATATGTCACCTAGTCTGTGTGCAATTTGACAAAGGTTGTTTCTGTGCACATGTACTTGGGGAGGAGGGTGGTTTTGAGAAATAATAACGAACCGAGCACAGCTTAGCAAATGCAGCCAAGGGATATCATGCTAAATGACTGTCTTGGTTCCCTAGTCACTCAAAGGAATTCAGTATGGTTTAGACAGGCATTGCATCAAGGAATCTGTGTTCAAAGATTGTTGCCAATCATTTCGCAGGAATGTATCTGTGAGAACAAAATGAGGAATGCTTCATGAAAGTGCCATCATTCCACAAAAGTTTCTCTAAAACTTAACTTTTTAATCTGCTATAGATTAAGTGCCACCTGTCACTATCAAGTTATTTTTCTTGCTCAAATTCACACCTTGATTTATGATTGTGATGATGAAATGGCAGGTGTCCCAGGGAGTTAAAAAGCTTCAAGATTTCTGACTATATCTGCAGTTCTGTATACAAAGATTTTATTTGTAATGGACCTATCTGAATAAATCCCTTCCCAATCTTGTTTTATACAATTAAAAAAATCCTTGTTCCATGTTATGCCAGCAAAGGGCAAACTGAGATGTTGTGGCCATGTTTGCATCTGGCAGTTGTAGCTGAATGGGAAGGAGGCTGAAAGCAAAACTAGATTAGGGACTAGAGATGGTTGAATCTTTCGATATTTCTCCATTTCTCATTTTTCCAATACTAAGTTTAATTTCCATAACAGTTCACAAAGTTTTATCTTAAGTCTTCATAAAAATCAGTATTTTGTCAATATTTTAGTACCAATTTCTCTCAATATCATATTTTTGTATGCAATTTTGCACTTCTTTGTAAAACAGTTTCCTTTAGAAGAAGAAGAGAAGAGTTTGGATTTGATATCCCGCTTTATCACTACCCAAAGGAGTCTCAAAGTGGCTAACATTCTCCTTTCCCTTCCTCCCCCACAACAAACACTCTGTGAGGTGGGTGGGGCTGAGAGACTTCAGAGAAGTGTGACTGGCCCAAGGTCACCCAGCAGCTGCAAGTGGAGGAGTGGGGACATGAGCCCGGTTCACCAGATTACGAGTCCACCGCTCTTAACCACTACACCACACTGGCTCCAATGTTGGTTTCACTAATTTATGCACACTTTACCCTAGTTTATTTATTTTTGTGCATATTGCTTGGCTGAAGAACTACATTGTACAATTCAGGCAAGTGGAAATTTTGAAGAAAGTATCTGTTTGGTTTGTGCATTGTTTGGAAAGTGTGAATTAGGTAGATTTGCCTTTAAATGTGAAATGAATCGAATTTCTCCTCCATCCCTAAAGCCCAAACATACAGCATTAGAACTTCTGATACATATTTATTTAAAAACAGCTGCAGAGGGAATTGTATTAGGAAGGTAGGCTTTAACCCTTTTCCCAGTATCGATTCTCCACTTGCTATCAATCTTCTTCCCAAAGCTGCAGTTCCTCCAATGGAGAGAGTATGGATAGAGTACATGCTTTGCAGCAAAAAACAGATACCTGTTCCAATTCCTGGCATTTCTAGGTAGGGCTGGGAAAGATCTCTGCTTGAATTGCTGAAGAGTTACTGCTCATCAGCACAAATGGTCCTAAGCTAGATGTCCTAATGGCCCGAAATGTTATAAGGTATCTTCCTGTGTTCTTAACATCTTTTGGGGGGGGGATTCTAGTAGCACCTTACAGGGACAAAACTTTGATTAAGGTGTAGGAAGCTAACAACCCAGGCCACACCCTTGACTAAGAAAGATGGCGGGTGGATGGGGACTAGCAAAGATATTTGCATGTTGGTGTGGGATGAGGCCTATTGATTGAAAGCAGCATGGGGAGAACTGGCCATTTTAAGGTTTGGGGTTTAAGGTTTAGGGCATAGCTTTCCAAACTTTTCATGTTGGCGACACACCTTTTAGACATGCATCATTTTGCGACGCAGTAATTCTGTTTTACTAGCAAACCAGAGGTTAAACGAACCCCTTTCCAGCCCCAGGAGGAGCGTGGGGAGCCTTCGCGTGACACACCTACACACTGCAGCTGACACACTAATGTGTAATGATACACAGTTTGGAAA